CACCCCCACAACCGACCCCAAATGTGCCATCACCCCCACAACCGACCCCAAATGTGCCATCACCCCCACAATCGACCCTAAATGTGCCATCACCCCCACAATCGACCCTAAATGTGCCATCACCCCCACAACTGACCCCAAATATGCCATCACCCCCACAATCGCCCCCAAATGCATCATCACCCCCACAACCAACCCCAAATGTGCCTGCCGTCACCCCTACAATCGACCCCACATGCCCCAACACCCCCACCACCGACCGCAAATGTGCCATCACCCCCACCATCAACCCCCAATGCCACAACATCCCCATAACGCCAAACTCCCCATCACACTGACTCCAAACAACACTATAACCGCCAAGATGTTGACCCTAACACCCACTAACCCTCAGGCCCCAACAACTTCCAGCATGTCCACACTCACCCCCTCACCTGGGGCATGCAGAGCCAATCTGCCCAGGCAAAGCTCCATCACAGCCAGCTCCACGCCGCCCTCCCGCACGTATGTTCCTACACCCCACCACGCTCCTCAGCCCCAGGGCACCCCTCCAGCTCCCCTCACCTCTGGGTCTCAGCCCTGGGTGCCCCTACTCCCCTCCCTGGGCCCCACCTGCAAGGAGAGGTGCTGAGCAGCTCTGGTGATGTTGTCCGGGAACACCCGAAGGTCCAAGCCATCACAGTCCACAGTGTCGACTCGGGGGCAGGAGCAGCGCGGGGGGCAGGCCCGGGGCGGGGGCTGCGAGCTCTCCCCCAGGTGAGGGAAGGCAGCGTCCTCCATGCCAGCCACGGGCAGGGGGCCCGGCAACAGCAGGAACAGCAGCAGGCTTAACCACTGCGGGGAAGGGAGGGTCAGCCTGTCTCCGGGCTGGGCGCGGGGTCGCCATGGTGACTGGAGCATCCCCTCCTCGGGGAGGGTCTTAGTGGGGAGGCAGTGGCCAGTTGGCAGAGTGGGGGTGGGGAGGCAGGCAGGCCCCACCCTCAGACCCTCCCGTGCCCCACCTTACCATGGCCAGCCCTGACTCTGCCGTCTCGCCCAAGCTGCTGACCAGGACTCCCTAATGGAAACCAGGCGGTCACCTCCTGGAGTCTCTGCTGTGGCCACCACTGCCCCCCATCTCCAGACCCAGGCCACCCCCCACAACAGCCTGTTCTCCCGGGGCTTTGGGGGAGCTGGCCCACCCCCTTCCCCGCCCTGGGGAGGACGGGCAGGCGGCCGGATGGGGTGGTGAGGACAGGCCAGCCCATCCCCTTGGTCCCCCCTCCCGCCAACAACCACCCCATCTCTGCTTTCGTAACCTCAGCCAGCCTGGGCCGGGCCACAAGAACAAGGAATGTTTGGGGAAAAGCTGAGATTCGTCCTGTCTGGTATTTGGGACGACCGCAGGAGTAGGGGTGGGGATGGAGGGATGGGGGGAGCTTCGGGGCACAGGAGAGTTCCGAGAAGCAGGGGCAGGCAGCAGTGAGGGATTAGAGAGGCCTAAGGTTAGCCTGGCAGCCCAGATGCCAGCCTGGGAGCTCCTGACCAGGTCTGCTGCCCGGCACCCATATCCCCTCTGCTGGCTGATCTCGCTCCAGACACCCCCCCGCCTCCGACAAATGGCCACAGCCGCCTGGAAGGAAATTACATATATCCAGGCATCAGCCTGGTTGGTTAAGAGTGTGAGCTTGGTGCCAGCCTGCCTGGGTTTGAACCTGGGCTGTGCCACCTCTCAGGGCCTTGGTTTCCCTCTCTGTCAAGTGGGGTAATGGTTGGCTTACCACCCCGTACTCCCCACAGTGTTGTAAGGATTATATGCAGTGTGCATTCAGAACAGTGCCTGGCATATCCCACGGCTTTCGCACCTGTGGATGGGGGTGCCAAGCTGGTCTCCACCTAAGGTCAAATCTCCCAGACCCACCACTTAGCAACAGGGCGGCTTCAGACAGGTCCTTCTGCCCAGACCTCAGCTTTCCCACACATAAAATGGGATTGACAGGTTGGGTGCTGTGGTTTATATCTGTAATCCCAGTGCTTTGGGAAGCTGAGACAGGAGGATCTTTTTTTTTTTTTTTTT